AACCGGTTGGCAGTTCTACGAACCAATTGCCACCTAATACCACCGGGCAGACTCCCGTCCAAATTGCCCGGGTCCAGTATTTATTGATTCATTAACAATGGATGCTACATGGCCATACAGGGGCGTTTAAAATTTACATATGCTTTGGAATACATAATTGAGAAGGGTACATAATTGTGCGTTGTATACCCTTCTCAATTATGTAACCGTGTATCGTAAGCAATGGCACACCATACCATCACACACACTGTGGGAACGGTGTGTCGCTGTAAAGCGAAGGCAGGAATTAGGCGTTCACCACGGGGCCTCCGCACACGAACACGATTGTCATCACTGGTCAAATTGAATCTAAATTCGTCGCTGAAGACGAACTGGTTCTATTCCGTTAAAGTCCTATCCTATCATGCGCGACACCACTCCAAATTCAGGCGTTGGTGAGTAGGTGTCATTGGCAGCACATGTAATGGGCGCCGCGATACCAGATGTCCATCAACCAAGCGCCTTGCGATGGTTTGGGAAGACACATGGGGCCGTAATGAAGCTGCTGCCTGTGTCTGGATAGCGGCCAATGAGGCAGTTGGCTCTACGCGTGCATGTCATATGATGTGAAGGTCTTCTCGACGACTGGTCTGTCGAGGGCGTTTTGGGCCTGGTCGCCGTGTAAATAACGTCTCTTCTAGTTCCAACCCCTCCTCACAGTAAAATCAGAATGGCCTACCTGACGAGCTACTCTCCGATCTTACCATGCAGCTTCCACCATGCCGATGATTCTTCCTCTCTCGAACTCTGACAGCTGCTGATATTGGCTTCGATGGCAGCGTAACGGCTTGTCTACCTCAGCGTGTCCTTAGAAAATGATTAAGTACACTCAAACAAGCTCTGCTTACCTGTTTCATAAGTTCAACGTCCTCTAGTGACATTACGCAATGCGCAATTCCGTTGCATTTCTAATCATTTGCTACCCGACATGTACCTTCATGCCAAGTTTCGTTACGATCCCAGAATTATTTCTTGGTGCGCAAATTTTTATGCCAATGAGTGTATATCTGTAGTGTAAAAATCTTCCTTCCACATTGATTTTCATCACTTAAATAAAGCATATTTGACTTAATTATACACCAAATGTAGTATTCATTTAATGCACTGCCATATTCATATATATCTATACATACAATTCAATTCCCCTTATATACAGTATTCAATTATGTAATATGAATGCTTATATGTAATACTGTGTTATTCAAAATATCTTGTAACAATAACAAAACAAAACAAAAAAAAAAAAAAAAAAAAATGTAATGAAAAACAGGCCTTGTATGCCAACGTAACTGATTTTCGCAGAAATGACGTTTAATTCCGTACGGCACGATCTAGGACAGAAGTTATCTTCCCGGTGTTATAGTAACCTTAGGGCGGTCCTTACACAATCCTAAAGAGGCTGAACAACGTCGTGATTCGGATCTGTAAATCATCAAATTCAAAACCTTAAGTTGATCATTATGACAGGTTAGCCCCTTTCTTTGGCCATAGCACGTAGTCCCTATTGTATAAATAATGTACATAGTTTTAAAATTAATATGGCCCTATGTGAATACAAATTTCTGCATTAATTTATTAATTTAGTATTTGATTTGTTGTACAATATTTATTAAAATTTTTATTTTAGTATGGCATTGATTTTCTTTAAGTACGGCTTCATGTCGAAAGATTGTACTGCATGTGTCATGCACTCCTTGGGAAAGGGGAGATGTTACGAATTTTGTATATACGTAAATAATTTGAGAGAAATTACAGTGCTGGCCATTAAAATTGCAGCACCAGGAAGAAATGATCTGACGAACGTCAAAATCACATGAAACTAAGAAAAGGTTAGGATATGGAAATGATTAGTAATATTTCAGCGCATTTAGACGACGCAGGAGGGAGAAACGACATCTGAAGCTATGCACAAAAGAAAAGTTGTGCAGTGGATATCTCACTCGGAAAGAGCTTTGTAAGGTCGGAGTTTGCTCAGAAATATCGTGTTATGCCTCGAATGATAAGAACTGCTTACTAGCCGGAATTCGATAGAGGCAGGATCGTTGCCTATTGAGAGTGCCGATTATCGTTCCATGATTTCGCACGTCGCACTGGTCGACATCCAACCAGTATCATGCGAATATGGAATCAGTGGGTTGCTGAGATTTTTACTGAACGGCATGCAGGATCGCAACGCCCATCCATGACTAATGCCCGAAAGGACAGACATATTGTGAGGTCAGCCCTGCAAAACCGTACAACCACATCACGGATCATTAATCAGGAAATGGACATGTTTTCAGCACGACCAGTATCCGCTCGTACGGTGCGTCGACGTTTGCAGCAGCGTGGAGTACCTGAACGGCGGCCATTACTTCGGCTTCCCTTCACAATGCAGCATAGAGAGAGCGATGGCAACTCAGCTGCGTCGAACGACAAAACTGGATGAAGGAGTGGCAAAATGCCGTCTTTTTCTGTATACGTGTCTGGAGGCTCCGTGGAGACCGCAAGCCTTCTGCTTGCATTCGATATCGGTATAGAGGCTCTGCACCTGATGTGATGGTTGGACAACCATTGGGTACACGATACGCACATCTCAAGATCGGATAGACGTTAATTTGAACGCAGATCGGTACATCTCTGACATCTTACGTCCAGTGGTTGTGGCCTAGGCCTGCCAAAACGCCACCAACAAGATAATGCATGACCACATGTTGCACATCGTGTTCTGCTTTCCTTGATACACAAGGTATTCGATTGCTGCTCTGACCTGCACGGTCTCCAGATCTGTCTCCCACTGAAAACATCTTTCATGGGTCGCTGAGAGATTGGCCCGCCATCCCTCTCCAACTAATAGGTTTGATGAAGTGTGGCATAGACTTGAAGCAGCACGGAATGAGTTGTCCGTTTCTGTCAGCCAAGCCCAGTTTGACTCCTTGTCTAACCGGGTACGGGCTGTTTTAGCTGCAAGGGGCGACAGCTGTTTCTACTAATTTCGCAACCCTGTAAACACCCAAACTGCTTGCAAATTTACTCATTTTGTTTTCGTGTCATATTATTTACTTACAATAAATATCTTTTCTGTATTTGAAATTTACCTTCATGGTGTTGCAATTTTAATGACCAGCAGTGTATGGGTGAAATTTAATACGATATGAAATGTATAGAAAAGGGTAGCTTTTCTGGAAAAATAAGATTAGCGGCAGGTCCATTAGCACTGAGGTAAATGACTATTTCGCGAAACTGGCGACATAGCGTCAGGCTAGCGCGATGGTTTAGTTTTTTTTTTTTTTTTTTTTCCCCCCCACAATTTGGCGAGAAACCGACATTTTGGTCCGGTCCCTGTATAATGTAATTGGTACTGTAATTGAATAACTATAATTGTAACACTATCCGGCCTTTACATGTAAATTTAACCGTATATGCCTTCCACGTAATTGGGAGAAATGGAAGGGTGTTGGAATTTCCTCATCGTCCGGAAGAAAACGATAAGACCTGAGAGGAGCATCAGTTCCCAGTTTTTTAGCTCAGAATTGAGTTCGGAGCATTAACTCCGTGCGAGTTTCGCCTTTTAGGTACACTTTGTACTGCGCGGTGTTTAACTTTCTTAGCAGTTTGATTACTGATTTTGCTCTTTGATACTGACAAGAGCTGTACAAGTATTTTTGTGAAAAGTTTCAGAACTGTGAAGTGTTTGTTTAGGAAAATAAATTTTATCAAGCTGTCATTGGTTCTGTCTGAATTCAATCCATTACGAACTCGGACGCATGCAACGATATGCATATTTATATGTATGTTTTTATATAGGTAGGTATATTTTTGCAGATATGTTTGTATATATGTAACGAAACAGACTTAAAAGTAATGATGTTTTAAAAGTAATGATATTGATGGCCCAGGATTTCTTTCGGAATGACGCAATACAAAAAAGGTATTACTATTTTTATAATACAAACGGGAAATACCCAAATTTTAGGTAGTGAGAGGCTATTTCTAAATTATATTTTTTATCTTTCTTACATATTCTTCTCTTCAAGGAGGAAAAAACTTAGCGACAGAGAAGACTTTTTAAAGAAAAAGCGTCAAATGAAGAAAAATGAAAAGATTCATCACTGAAATCCGAAGTCAACAATATTACGCATCCATAATTAAATCAGTGCCCCAAACTCAATAGCAGTATTTCCAAATCAACTACAAATTGATTTGCTATTCCACTCATCAGCCTGCATTTATTAAGCGTGTTTCCAACTAACATGTATGAAATACCTTCGTACATTTCCGCTTTTGCATCGAAAATTAAACGGAGGTCATCAAGCGTCATTTACTCCGCAAATGCTGAACTGTGGGAAATCCTTTGCATCCGTTTCTGATTCCTGCAGTTTAATATACGGCCTTACATTTTTCGAAATTATTTTGTTTCGGTCAAAATGTATTAAATTATTCGGTGAAATCAAAATTACTGAAATATTACTCCTGCTATATTTATGATGTTAAAATATAATTTATCTTTATAAAACTAGTGTCATAAATTTTTATATGTGCCATAGTTAATTAGATTAAGTAATGGTTACGTAAACAGTTTATTGTTCACATGACACGTGGTCATGTTAACATTCTGTACTGTACTCTTGTTATCTCTTTTCTGTCTCTTAGAAGTGAAACATATGAAAGTCATATTGATTCTCATGTGAATTTGTGAATTGAATTGAATGATTCTCATGTGAATTGAATGATTCTCACCGATTTTCACATGAACAACCATATAAACTGTGTGTCATAGAAACATGGTTTATTGTTCACTTGACTGTTTTCATGTCGGCAGGGGAAAATAGTTCATATCAATGTTCTCTAGCTCATCTAAAAAATTTTAGGTGCAGTTTTGAGACACGTAATGCAAGCCATTTTAAGCAAAAATAATGAAAACAAATTCAGTGTAGAATTTTTGCAGTATAAAAGAAAAGACCTTTTTTAAATTTCATTACCTTTCTGAAACTGATCCACTCCTGATGGTCGTACACGTACACCCCACCATACTTAGACAGTAATTGCTCCTTCTGGATGTAATTCAGGAGTTTATCTTGCGAGGGCAAAACCTCGAACTGAAAGAAATATAAGAAAAGAAATGAGAATTTGAAACGATTGCAGCAACTTTTTCAAACCAATGGTGACAAAATCAAGCAACTGTGGCAACTTCTTCAAACAAATTTTGACAATTTAAAACAATTTTAGCAACTTTTTCAAGCTAAATGTGACAATTTGAAGTGGTTGTGGCACCTTTTAACAAACTGCGAAGATTTCTAACAATTTTGGCAACTTTTTTAAATGAACTGTGGCAATTTCGAACAATTTAGGCTACCTTTTCAGACAAAGTGTGATAATTTTAAACGATTGTGACAACTTTTTCAAACAAATTGTGACAATTTCAAATGATTGCGACAATGTTTCCAAACTAACTGTGACAATTTAAAAAACACATAAGACAACTTTTTTAAACAAAATTTCACAATTTCACATTATTTTATTTCTATGGCCACAACTCTATACAAACTGGCCGTAAATACCCACAACACTTTACGACTATTGACTTGAGCACAATGAGGAAGCGATACATATAAAAGAACGAAGACAAATTTTTTACATACAATACTCAATTAAGATTGCACATAGTGAACAAAATACGATCCATTTAGAAATGCTACGTCAAGGAGAGGTGGCCAAAATGATGGGAAAACTATGCTTTAAAAAAGTTCATTTTGTTTCATTCGATTACACAGCAACTTAAAAATAGCTATTACTTGTTTTGCCGATTATTTATTTCTAAAATGTGTTCAAAATAGCGTTGACTATTGAACTACGTCCATTCAAAAGTGCAGACATTGTGTCCTGGTGGTAATACCATCTTTCCAGACAGCAGTGACTATGTAATAGCGCAGGCATTGTTTCCTACTGGCAACTCAATCTTTCAATATAGCGGTGATAGCGGTGTTTCAATATAGCGGAACCAGGTCCGTTTAATGGTGCCGAAAGTTTTCTATTGGTAACTGCACCTTTCATGAGCCGGTAACTATGTAACCATGTCCATTCAATGGCACAGACACTGCTTCCTACTAGTAATTGCATCTTTCGAGATAGGTGAAGGGTGGGGAACACCCGAACTTCACTATGGGATTTTACAGGTATTGTTCCCTCCTACTAGTAAATATCTAGAAGAAAGAACGTCCTGTTGGGCGAAATGTGAAATCTTGAGGTACTGGGCGTTTAAACTGGTGATTTAGCGCAAACTGGTAACATCGCGTTCCACACAGCCGCTATCTTTATGGATCTGATTTGATTGTTACACATAGTCCACTGTAATTTTTTTAAATAGCCTCCATTGATATGGGTCAACCTTGCAGAAGCACCGACATAACTCTGTGGTGTAACAGTAATACTGCTGCTTAAGTTGTAAATACATAGGCAGTAAGTTAAATACATAAGCAGGATAAGGTTTCAATAACAGACTGAACAATTACTTTGCTATTTCTTTATATAACTTGATAGATCTTACTTGGGTTATTGAATGCACCTATTATACATACAATACAGATAATTCATACGACACATTTGAGATAAAAAATTGAATTACATATTAAATAAAATAAGGTACCTTAAATTATAACAATACAAAAAATGACAGAATTTCTTTATTGGGATTTGTTTTCGGTGATTTCAGGAACATGTTAAACGGGGGTGGAAATATAGGGATTGGTGTTTCTGTTTTGTAGAAATGCCCGTGCTATGGAGATGTACAATGATCCGAGTTGCGCGATGACACTTAATCTTGGTATAGAGCTCCTGGATTTTTAGTTCATTGTTCATCATTAAGTTCATTAATCTTTGAACGCATATTTGAACCCGTTTGGCTATTAAGGTACGTAGGTTCTATTCTTGCTGTTTTGCTAAGAGGTGTCTCATTGCTCTGTGGTATTGAGAGAAGTTTGAACAATTTCTGTTCCATATGTGTTAATTTTAATTTTATTATTTTTTTATCTTATGGTTGAAGTTGTGTTGTGCGATTAGGAGACATATGAATGCTGGGGCAATTGAAGACGGATGGCATAGGTGAAGGTCTTGGGTTAGTTGAGAGCTGAAGACATAGTGATCGGTGTCTCCGTGATCTCTGTATAAGCATATATCTGTAGCTGTAACTCCTCTTTTCATGAAATAATCAGGGAAAGTTCATGTCCTGTTAAGTACTGAGTGAGGTGGAACTGAACACTTCTTGTTGTTGTGCTGACTTTTGGGTAAAAGGCGAAGAATCTGCGTCCTGTAGTGGCATTTTCCCTTTCCTGCTGACAGATGTCGTGTATTTTATTATTAATAATATTTCGAATGAGATTTCAGGAGTTTGACTGATATGGGTGTTTCTTCTTGGTTTTGGGCGGCTGCATTGGCCAATTTCTCTCCCCATGGTCGTTACTCACATCATTATTATGGCCTTTGATCCAAGAGATGGAGGTGTTGGGGTTTGATAAGTTTTGGGATGATTAACTGATTTCAGATGGTATGGCTATCTGGGTTTAATATGGAGAATATGTCAGTTTGGCTTTTGGAGTTTATATTTAGAACCTGTACATTACGAAGTTGGCTAAATACATTGCTGTTTTGATTGCACATAATTCAGCTTGGTGAATGCTGTTAAATTAGTTGAGATGGCCTTTCCAGTCTACTAAGCTCTGAACTGTATTCCAGGCAGAAATGTGAACACCACAGCCGACGTTTTCTTGAATTCTGAAACCGTCAGTATAAGCGATTATTGCATTCCTTGGGGTAAGGATGTCATTCTTGATATTAATTTTGCTGTGAGGTTTGGCTGGGTGTCTACGGTGGAGAACGGAATTCATACTCTTCTGCAGTAAAAAAAATCTTGTCTGCAATCGAGATGTTTGTTCATTTTCAGTTGTAGGACTGTGGAGTAAAAGGTTTTGTGAATTGCTAGTAGGTTGAGACAGGTGACAGTGAGGATAATGCTGCATTTGATGTTGTGCGGTAGCCGCAAATGATATACAGGTTGAACTGCCTGTAAATGGAAGTTTGGATTTTCTATTTCCTTTCGGTCACAAGGAAGTATCCATATGGCGGCTCTGTATGTTACCATTTTCACTATTATCGTCAGAAAGAGAATTTTGGTAATATGTGAGTTGAATCCTCGGTTGTATCCGTAGATCTTCTGAGGATGATGCCAATTTGGTGCGTTCTATTTTTGGTTTCCTCGAGATGGTTGATGTAATTTTGTTTATGATCGATGTGAATTCTGAGGTATTTTATGGTTTTGACATTCTTGTGGCCTCCTTTGATCTCGAGTGACAGTTACTTTGTAATATTTGTAATTTACTTTATATTTTGCACAAAGACAGTTACATTCGGTTAATGTTTCTTTCAACTTATTTCAAGAACGTCTTGAGTCCTTTGACCACAAACGCGACGTTGTCGGGGAAAGCTGTAATGAAGGTGTTTTCTGCACATTTATGGTTGATTATGAGACTAAATATTATGTTCCATAAGTCTGCACTCATGCAGGAACCTTAGAGGCAGCCTCTTGATTTTTTGCCGGAGATGACGGTGTCGTTGAAGTGAATGAAGCTATTTCTGTTATTGAGAAAGTCCTTGATAGTAAGGTAAAAGTTATTTGGACATTCTAGGTTGTTGAGAGCTTGGAGAGTTGAAGGTCACCAAAGTGAGTGGCCACCAAAGCGAGTCAGGTCTAGGCTGGGAATTGCAGAGTGATGTGTCTTTTTTTTTTTTTTTTTTTTGTTTTTTTTGTTTTTTGTCCTCCTACCAATAGCGCAGGCGACAGATGATGCGAATATTTTTTTACTTTTTAGAACGTAGCGCTAAAAAGCCAGGCGAAAAAAAAAACGCAAGGAAATACGGTCTATTATAGTAAATACAGAATTCTTCAGTTTATATAAATTCATTTATTTTCATTATTTTAGACAAACTCCGTATGAATCAGAGATAATACATAACATCATTTTTCTGTATAGTTCATAGATAAAACAAGAAGCATAGGAAAAAATATTTTCATACAGTACCTGAACTCTGCTTGTAGGAAACAAAGCACTTCGCTCTAATTTGTTGTCATCTTCTTCATACAAAATTAGAACTTCACTTATCACATTGGATAGATTGGCCTGAAAAAATTACGCATTCCGAATTAGGATTCCAATGCTAAATATAAAAAATAAGTAAATATAAATGCTAACTTTACCTCGTTCTGCCCATTTTAAAAATTAAACCATGTCATATGATCCTTACATAATGCTAAGGACGTAGAAATTACATAAAATGCGAATAGCTTCTTGTCAATTATTACAACTTTAGGGCACGCGTGTCATTTGTCGTTTTGGTAACATCGTTGAAAATTTTAATTTTGGATATGAGCTCTGATAATTTTTCCGAAGTTACGAAATCAAGTTTAAAATACAATTTTCATTTCTGTTTATAAGCCCACCGGCGGCCGAGCGGTAAAAACGCTGAACACTGGTAGTTCGGTCTGAGGTTCGAATCACGCGAACGGGCTGGCTGCATGGGCGTTTTCGTGGTTTTCCCCATGTGTAACGTGTATACGAGCCAGTTTCAATTAGAAAGCCCTCCACGAAGGCATCCCTCCCTTTAGGCAGATAGCCCTCGTGTGCTTTGCCATAATTAAATAATCCAATCCATTTCTGTTTATATAGTAAAATTTGCCCATTGAAAGAAAAAAAAAAAAGCCTGCATATTTAGCTAGTTGTAAGCTTCTTGTTTTGCAGCTAGTAACTTGTAAAAACTGTCACTTTTGCTGAGTAATGTTATGGGCGAAATAGAATACGATATTATTTAAGAGATGGATGATAACGATGTTAATGGACTTGCTTCAAGCAAAGAGAGATTTCCGAAAATTGCTAAAAAATTCCGAATTGTACACCAATATTGAGAAATTTAATTAATGTACATTAGAATTAAATAAAATGAAACTAATGTTTTTGTTGAATTACTTAAAAACTTAAAATAACATTTTTAAGACTGAATCATTTTGTAAAGGTATTATTATTTCGATTACATAAATTCATAATATCATTTTTATGACCGAATTATTTTGTTAAAATTATATTTTGTTTTTCTTTTACTTATTCGACACATTTTTTGGATCCCCGCCTCCTTTACAGGAAAAAAAAGTTCCAACGACCCTCTTCCACATTAGTAATTATATGAAATATTAAATACACTGTTTCATACCTATTTAATATTGTCTATTTATTAAGAATCACAAAGTAGAAATTAATTATAACGACTATCAAACACAGTACACTGTTTACTAAAAATTTTAAAATAAACACAAAACCAATAAAAAATAAATAAGATATTAGAGGTTGGTGGAATTTTAACTATATATTAATGTCGGTTTCCAATTTCGTTAACATGAGCTGTAAATTCTCCTCAGTGATAAGCAGTCTGTTCCTTTTCTTAGACAGTAAATTAGCTACTGCACTGAACCACCGTTCAGCCGAATAAGATAAAGGAAAAGCAATTAAAACTTCTGTACTATTACCCAAAATCCACGGTATAGAGCTGGTACTGATTTTTGAAGCCTAAACCCTCGGTATTTATTTCTGAATTTTATTTCTTTGTTGGTTGTGAATTGTACGAGTTCACAACTAAAGATATGTCTACATTTAAATGAAAGAGTATAAAACCGAACTTCGTATATCAATGTTTAAAATATCCTGGAATCACTCAAAATCAGCATGAAGAACGTGGAAGTGATGGCAATAAGTAAATATTCCTGTTTTGCAGAAACTCCTAATAACGTGGAAAACTGGCTACATTCACTTCTACCTAAATATCGTTTGAACGGAACATGTTTTTCCACAAAATCAGAAATGATATTTTTTGTTTTTAATTAAAATTCAATTCATCACCTTGCAATTGTAAATTTACCTCATTGAATATTTTAAACAGGTCGCAATGTCACTTTTGAGTGTAATCAGGTTTTCGCGCAATTTTCCGTCTCTATTTTTATGGAAGTCCAATACTAAGTCAAACTGATTGAAAAACGATTCAGATAAATACCTTCGAGAACCAACGAATTTCTGTGTGCGATATTTGGTACAGTTGATTCACCAAGCTGAATGGAAAATTTGCAAGTAATCGCATAATGATATTTCAACGTCTTTAGCCATTTCATCTATTCTTCTTTAACTGAGTAACAATTGCGCTCAATTAATTATTCAGAGAAATTTTTCTGATGATATCTGACGGTATCGAATGATAAGGAACGGTTTTTATTACTTCTTTGACTGACGAAAATATTAATTCATCATGTCGAAAATATTAATTTTAACAGCACGAACGGCCGCCCATTTTGATTGTCTTTACGCCCCCCATTTGCTTTCGGATCTGTTACTTCCCCTGTTGGGAACTTATGGTATGTATGTACAAGGGCAATTCGGAATCTCACTTCCGTTTCGTTGTAAATAAAAAGACCGCATAGGTTCAACAAATTTTTTATTTGCAGCTAAAAGGTACAGCTGCCCTCTATTTTTCAACACAGCCACCATGTACACTGCGGGGGGGGGAAAAAAAAAAAAAAAAAAAAAAAAAAAAAAAATGAAACAGTTCTATATCTCCCATACTCGGCCGATTGATGAAACTACTTTTGAATTTTTCATGTCTCGAAAGCGCGACTTAGAATATATATTAGATTTATATATAGCATTGTTCTAATATAGGTATTTTGACATAAAATCGGACTTTTTCTGAAATAATATGCCGATTTTTTTCCATATTTCGATTCTATGACTCAAGTTATACCAAACTGCCAAGTTTTGTAAAAATTGCAAGCGTGGATTTTAAAAAATTAGCTCTCAAAATTATAGCTTCTCAGTGCTAACTGAATTTGATGTATATTTAATAATATCTCATTTTTGATTAAACTTACTTGATTCCTTCTTCCAGAATTTGAAATTTAGGTTCCTTCCAATTTCCTATTTTTTATGATTTATTTTTAAAATTTGTATTTTTAAATAATTTTTATAAATTTTTCGAAAACAATTTTGAATTATAAACGATAAAAGTTTTACCATCATCTTAAAATAGATGTATTTCTAAGCATACCTGCAAAAAATTAGAGTTTTTTATTCAAAATTTCCTAGGATATACGTGAATTTACAAATTGGCACGTTTTGAAATTTGCTATATTTGTTAAAAGAGGTAATAATGCCGAATGTGGTTTACGCACTTTGTTAAAATTATTTGAAACAATGAGCGATGACTTTTTTCTGCTCGTTTACAATGAATGAAAAAAAAGGAAAGGAAAATAGGTTGCTATAAATTAAGAAGTTCGCCAAGTGAATTATGACGCAAACTGAAAAAAATGCGCGAAGATAAAATTTTTAAATTTCTCCGTAAATTTCGCACCAAATTTTACAAAATTTCATATTTAAGCATAATTTCAGTCGTTGAATCGAAATATGGCAAAAAAATTGGCATCTCATTTCAGAAAAATTCCGAATTTGTGTCAAAATGCCTGTGTTAGAGCAGCGCTATATAAAAATCTAATATATATCCTAAGTCACGCTTTCGAAATATGAAACACGCCAGTTAAATTTCGTCAATCGGCTAAGTAGAACGAGAGATATAGAACTAACCCCCTTTTTTTTTTGGTGCAAGTTGTATATGTACATGCATACGTACGTATACAGGTACTGTTACGAATTTTGTACATATGTTAAATAATTTTAGTGAACTATAATGTAAAACTGTATTTTTTTTTTTTTTTTTTTTTTTTTAAATCATGTAACGTGAACTCCCGAGTGCCAAATAGCTAGATGGATACAGAGACACCAGGAATAAAACATTATTATACATCATCGGAAAGGATCATCACACGGAAACGCCACCTCCTGCTAAAAAGACTGTCCAGAAAAGGTGGCGAAAATTTTCCAGTGTCGAAGCGAATTACGAGCGTGTTAATTCGGTCGTTTAATATTAAATAAATTGACTAACGGATAGAAAGGCAACATGAAGAGGGAGATATAAAAAAAGGTTGGATGACAGAGACGCACGGGGTAGAAAGACTGAATATGTGCACTAAACATCTCTAAGCTAAAAATATCAGTATGCTGCAAAATAATGGCTGCCCCGTTAAGCTTAGCAATTTAAAATAGTAAACTGGTCTTAATTAAATGCATATGCAAAAATACTTCCAACAAGTAACCCCCCCCAAAAAAAAACACGGTTGATGCAAATGCATTTAAAAGCTCAGAACAATTATTTTCTGAAATATGACATGTTTAAAATTAGTACAGGTGTCTAGCAAGGTACACTTTTAAAAGGTATTTCATCCGCCTTCCTAGCGTGCCTTCGTGGTATAGTGGTTCTGCACGCAGGCCCGGTATTCCAGAGATCCGTGGTTCGATTCCCGTCGAAGGCGATTGCTCACTTTTCATCTTGCCTGCTTCCAAAAAATACCTAATGTCTCTGCAAAGGACTACTTAAAGCCTTAAAATAAATATCTAAACTTCACAAAGCAGCTTCTTTATGATAAAAGCAATCAAGCACGTGTAAAAATTCAATATAAATACGTATATTTATTTACGTATATTTAATACGTATATTTATTACGTATATTTATTACGTATAGTTATTAGGGTAAATACCCTAATAACTACAGCAAACATGTACAAAATCCGATATCCACTGGTATTCATCAACCAGTAATTATCACTTCATGACATAATAATGTGTGTTTGAACCTGCGTCACTGAATTATTTTGTAGAAAATACTTTTCCTTTTCAATTATTTAATTATTAGTTTTCAATTATTATCTATATCATTTTCATGATCGAGTACTTTTGTAAAAATACCTTTTTTCCAATTATTTAAACCTATAATATCATTTTCATGATCGAATCATTTTGTGAAAGTAATAATTTGTTTATTTATTTAAACTTATACCATTTTCATGATCGATTTCTTTTGTAAAAATATCTTTTTTCCAATTATTTAAATCTATAATATCATTTCCATAATCGAATTACTTTATGAAATTAATAATTTTTTTTATTCATTTAAACCAGGGTTTCTTAAACTTTTTTTCAGTCGCGATCCCTTTTTATCACTCAGATTTTTCCGCGACCCCCAGGATTCCATAGTATTTACAAAAATTTTGACCGATCTCATAAGTATTGCGCAAATCCGACAAACGCGTGAGTGAAACTGTCAATTTTTTAACTTGTACTGTAATATACTATTGCAGTTTTAGATCATTAACTTTAATTTCTAATTTTAAGACATAGAACAATGTGAAAAGTTTAAATAAGTAACACACGAAATGACAGCGTCATGTGCAAAGTAAGGAAAATGAACGTTTATATTATAAAAAGAATGCGTCGAAACGTTTTCGTTTTTTAGTTTGTCTGTATTGTCTTATCTTTATCTATTTTCAGATACATTGTGTAAAAATATTTGGTAAATGTAAAATTATTATAATAAGTTAAAGAAATATTAAAACTGGTAAAATTTTTGGCGACACCCTGCTGCAGGTCCCGCGACCCCCTTGGAGGTCGCGACCCACAGTTTTAGAAATCCTGATACCATTTTTATGATCGATTTCTTTTGTAAAAATATCTTTTTCCAATTATTTAAAGCCATAATAACATTTCCATAATCGAATTATTTTATGAAGATAATAATTTTTTTATTTATTTAAACGTATATAATTTTCATGATCGCATTCTTTTGTAAAAATCTCCTTTATTCAATTATTTAAACCTATAATACCACTTTTATAACCAAATTACTTGGTGAAACTAATATTTTATTCAATTATTTTAAATTAATTAGCAATTAATTTTAGTATTAATTACAAGTTACTAATTTAAAATGATCTTTGGCTGAATTACTTTGTAAAAATAATATATTTTTCAATTATTTAAACCTAAGATATCCCTTTTATGATCGATTTATTTTAGAAAACATTTCGAAATCGTATATACACCAAGCCTAAAACTTCAAAATCTTGGCTAAAAGCAGAGTTGATATATGGTAATTAAATACTAATTATTACATCTCTCATCGTATTCATTGTTAGATGAGAGCGATAAATACGTAATCTCATAACTATGTATTTCAAGGCAATAAAATATGTATTAAATTTCCGGTTATGTATATGCAATAAAATAATTACATGTTGCTTTCTTAATTTTTTTGACTGTTCAGCAAAACAAAATAAAAATCCTTGACATCCATTAGTATTCATGAACAATAAATATCATTTCATGACATAACAATCTTGAAAAGTGAAAAATAATCCGCTCGTAGCCTTCTTTGCCAAAGTCTTTTGCAAAACTTAGCGGATTTGCAATGAAAGATTGCTTGAAGACTTAATACAATGCAAAATTAATGAGATGTGGACTTACTTCTATCAGGCAGAAGGTTTCATCTAGGGCGTTCCAGAACTCCTCGGAATGTCTGGACGCATCGATCAACATCAAGAAACCTCTGGAAATGACTTCTTTCCTAGAAGAGAAATTTCAATTTCGGTTACTAGTTGATATTAATTTCTCAAAGCGTGTAATTAACTCTTCATTATTCATATTTAATTGCTCTGGCTCTTACGAAAAGGTCCGTTAATTGAGGTGTTTACGAAAAAGGGTGATTATAGAGATCGCGTTTATGTTCAGTAATCTACTGTGGTAGTCAAGATCGCCATTAGAAAAGTACTTAATATGCTTTACCAGGAGTAGAAAATAGCATTATTCTCAAAAGATTTAATAAGAATTTTAGGATTTAATTAATATTGAAACTACACTTAATTAAACACACTGTTTTGACTGAAACTGCACTTACTTTCTTACTGAACCGTTACACTCACTTTATGTACATTTACTTTGCGCGTGTTACATTCTGCGTGTGTTATACTTTGCTTTACACTTTGGGATTGTTACACTTATTCCTGTATTTACTGAAGTGTTACACTTTATGGTTAGAGCAATACTTAACATACTACCTGGAATTTTACAGATATGCTATTTCTACTAACCCACTTTTTTTTTCTTTTTAACTTTATTTATTAAGCATTATTTTCTTCGCATTTACATCATTCAGCAGCAAAATTACAAAAATTTTAAAAGCAGCATAGCAGTATACGTTCAGAATTCCCGATGCAGCGTTAAGTGTTGATATACACTTTTCTGCCTTTTTTTAAAAATTATTATTTATTTATTTATTTCTTAAAGTCCTTTCTCAGTTCATCATAATGTTCAATTTTCTTACTAAGAAGGTTTGACAAAACTTTTTTTTTTCTGTTTTTTATTATTAAAGTTTTGCATGTTTACTTTGTTAAATATGAAATTCTTGACACTTACGCCATATAAAATTCGATTCAACAGCAAAATCAGAAAATATTTAAAAACAATATATCTTTAGAATTTCCAATAAGCTCTCTCTCTCAAGCTGGAGATAAAAATGTCCCACCCCCGTACAGTGTTGGCACAGCTCGCTTTGAAATCGTTGCGTTTGTTAATCAAAACTCGCTAAAGTTTCACAAATTATGAGACAGATAGTAAAACAAATTCGAAATTCAAAATTCCGGTTTCCAGGCACTCATGTTCGAGTGGAGGACTACGTTAATCAAAATTTGATTAGTCTAGGTATTGCTACTTTTTTACAATGCGAGAAACATGCATACATTCATGCATATTCTTAATTATACAATTTCTTCAAATATAATACAGGGCGACAGTATTTGGTAACAACAATTTGAAAAGTGATACGCCGTTTATAGTGATTCAACGCCGTTTCGAGACTAATATCCCATTCGAAACTAACGTCTCTTTTGGGCTTAAAAAGAAAAACGATAATCTGAAAGAATTTAGATTTTAACGTCACACTGGAGCCTTTGATTAGGTCTTTCATGCTTCTGCTAAGCTTCTTTCGAATCTGCTCTTAGACTTACTCCTACTAACACAATTTTTTGTCGCTTTAGTTTTATTATTAAGCATCCCTTTCAGCGCATTTACGCTGCACAGATTGCAAAAGCAAAATCACAGAAGTGCTTAAAGTTTTGGTTCATTCAAATCATCCAAATTTTTGTTTTCATAATAACTATTTTAGGCGGTTGGTATAAAAATATATAGAATAGCAGTAGTTCATATTCAATAATCGGTAGACTTTCTCCGAATCAATGACTTCAATGTTACATATTTATATAGTACATAGTACAGTATATATTAAATGTAGAGTGTAATACAGGGTAAATATATAGGTACTATATAGGTATATACATAATAAATATACTATAAAGTAGTGCACAGTAAATATCTTGTGTTATACTAAATATACCGTGCATGAAGTATACTGAATAATTTATACTAAATGTACTATAGTATATAGTGAATATATTGCATAGTATATAAAGTATATAGTGAATCTACTGTGTAGTATATAATAAATATATCATATAATATACAATATAGTTTTTACTACTCTATGTACTACTTATATTATATATATGTAAAAACTACATGGTATATGTATGCACGACAGATTTTATGATTTTTATAAAAGTGATTTCTTTAAATTTAAAACTGCTAAAACTTTTAATATGGGCAGTGCCAACACACCGATGTTAAACAGCGGAGTTTGTTGATTTAATTCGAACACAAATATATTGCGAATGTCAATACACTTCTTTTACATCGCCGAATTTTGTGATTAAATTTGCTAACATAAACACCTTACGCTTTGCAGGATGGCAACACAAGGCTTTACAGACGACAGATGATACATCTTACCGCATTTATATTATAAATAAACTAATAATAATAGTTATAACTTCTTAATGATACTTCGGCAACAATAACAGCCCATTAATTCTGATCAGAAACAAGTAACTAAAAAGAAAAATATTATAAAACAGTGACCTAGATTTAAATGATAATATATCGTCTTTGTAAATAATGTACATAACTGACACATAAAATTTATACGCTATATCATTTAGAAACCACACAATGCTCAAACGAATAGAACTGATTTATACTTCACATTAATTTGGTGATGTCTATAGGGTGTGTCTCAACTCTTTGCGTCAAAGGTATAAGACATTAATCAATTCTTTTATCTCCTTGATCAAACATATCTAATACTTGCCACATCTCATTAAAGACCTCATTTGAATAAGCCTAATGATGAAATGGTGTTGCTATATAAAGACAAGAAATTACGGCAAATAAATAGATAAAAAAATCAGTTAATATTTTACTAGTGAATCTTTATTTAGTGAAGCAATAATCAAAATAATTACCAAGTAAATTTCCATCGAGGTGTTGAAAAGAGTTTCATAATAGGCATCGATTAAAAAAAAGAATTATCATACTAGCGGCAAGGTAATTTCGCCATTTCATCACCTTTTTAGACATTTTCCAGGAGGAGGAAAAAAAAAAAAAATCCTCGAGCTCGTTCTAAATAAACTCTTCAAAGATATTAGCTCCAAACGGTGCATTGCATTTTAACCGTCATCGATAATTTTTTTTTCCATCCTGAAAAAGAAAGGCTTGTGTCAGGAGCGGATGCGGCTTGTGGGAATTCTAGAAAATGTTCGAAAGAAATGTCCACCTCGTCACTAAACATGCCAGCGCCTTTAAGTCGGCAAGCGTTACCCAAGACAGAAGTCATCATAAAGATGCTCTGACATAATGGTGCCGGCACTGCGACGACATGCTCAACCCCCAAAGTTAGAGATTGAAGTTCGTAACGATGCCGGCACTTTTAAGGGGAGATTTCGTCGAGAATCCCAATAAAGGTACCAGCACCTCGACGAAAGCTGCTTTTCTCGAAGTTATAAACTGAACCTAATAATGACACGGCTTTATAAGTGTGCATATACTTTCATGTCAGGACCACCATTAGCAAACATGGTCCGCTTATATAGTGACGGTTATTAGTGCCGGTACCTTTAGAATGAAGATTTCGTCAAGACAGAAACCATCGTATATGTATGGCACTTTCATGGAAATTGCTTAGTCCAAGTTCTAAACTGAACTTCATAAGGGTACAGACACCTTTTACGCAAGTCGGTGGCTATTCACTGAAATAAAAGTGAATTTCTGAAGGTGCCGGCATATCTTGATGATCGATGGCAAACTTGGGAAAGGTTCCGGCACCTTCATTCGAGTAGGCAACTATTTACCTAGATCTTCACTGAAACGTCACGCAATCTTGGTGAAGGTTGCAACTTCATAAGTGTACCACGGAGCTTTGTGACATAATGCTGGGAGCCTTTGTACTTTGGCGATCAATGGTCATCTTGCAGAATCCGCAGCACTGAGACCACCCTTGGCCTATGTCAGTCGCTCTCGAAATCGATACAGTATGTATAGTTAGAAGAGAAACACGTCAACGTAAAATTTTAAAATAATATTTTTTTTATTACCTTTATAAAGGAAGCATCCTAGCTTAAAAGTGCGGCACTTCACGCGAATCGGCCACTGCTCGAAAAAACAGAATGTTTCATCAGTGTCTCCGCATAAACAGTGGCGCACATCTATGCAAATGCGTCACTATTCGAGGGACAGTACTCTATAAGGGTGTCCGAGGATAAAAGTGCGGCACCTAAAAAAAGGAAAACCTTTAGTTTAGAACTTGGAGGAAGCAATTTCCAACAAAGTGCCGTACCTTCACGATAGTTTCGGTTTTGACAAAATCTCCACCCTAAAGGTGTCGGAAACTTTACAAAAGTGGGCTTCTGTTTGCCACGAATATCCGTCCATAAAGGTGCTCATACCCTTATAAAATCAGAATCTCTGTAAAGTTAACTTTATAAGTTGAAGAAATCAACTTCCATAGGTGTGCTGGTGTCTTCTATACGAGACCATCTTTACAAGCAGTCTTGCAGGAGCTCTTAATTTTCACTATGCAGCTCGCCCTACTTTTTTTCTGTGCATATCTTTTCAGCCAATCCAATTTCAAATGCTTCAGTGAATTCGATGTCTTGCAGTCACCAGTCCTCCTTTTTTTTTCTTCTTCTGCAAACGATTATGATGATTTATAAGTGACAAGATTTACATGCAAAGGACCACACACGAGCTGCAAACGACACTAAACGACGATTCATAAGGCGCTTCCATTTCTCTTTGTGCATTCAGCAGGTGTGTGTTTTGAATTATGGAATAATACCGCAAACGATAAACAGTCTTTGGATGATTTCCAAAGCTGAGAGTTATTCTTATAAACAAAAAATCGCATATATATATATATATATATAAGCAGAAGAAATGGGAGAAAAAGAAGTTGGGTGACAGCTGGAGTGACAGTTGTTTCGAATCGAATAAATCTTGGGAGAAAAAGGAAAATGGTACTCGAAATAAGATTAAAGACTGGTAGTCGAGATTTATCATGCTGTTGTTGCTGCGAGATAATATCTCTGTTTATGATTCAGTGATAAGCAAAGTGGAATAAAGTCGAATTTCATTTAAAAGTGTTTCCATTATTTACTTGTATTTACAATTCACTATTTG